TTTTTTTTTTTTTTTTTTTTTTTTTTTTACTTTCTCATGCATTCAAATTAAAAATAAAAACTCTTACATCAAATTTATTACAGTCTCTACGTTTTCCCCGTTCTTTTCTTTTAAATTTCTAGGATCTCCTGCCTTGTAGTTTGAATCCATCAAAACTTGTCAGTCATGCAATTCATATTCAAGTAGAAGTAGGGCTTTTGCCTTATGGAATAGAGGAAAGGGCGGTTTGGCCAATTGTTGAGGGTAGTATTGTCCTTAAAACCAATAAAATAGATGGCATTAGGTTTGCTCACCTGTCTTTAGTTCTTTCCACCTTCATCCTCAAGTAGTTCAAAATTAGCTTATTTGTAGCTTCCACTCATCCATTGGTTTATAGATAATGTATTGAGGGAAATTTGACACGAATTTTCTAACTCCTGCATAATTCTTTGATCTGCTTATCTAAAAATTGTGATACCTGGTGTATGATTATTGCCATTGAAGATCAAATTGACAAATGATGTTGGTCCTGATGAAATTGCAAACCACTTCAACACTAACTTTCACCAAAGCCTTCATCTCTATTCACTTTGAGAAGTAATCAAACATCAAAATGAACTTTCGCTGAACGTTTGCTAGATGAAAAGGCCAGATCAAGTCCATTCCCCTAATGAATAGCAATAGGCTTGAGATTGGCTATAGCTTGTAAAAGATTTGTAGTTACATTGAAACAAATTTATAACACTACAAAAATCTTTTGGAGAATTCTCCTGCATTCTTCCTGAGTCGGCCAAATAAACATTTACCTCAAGATCCTATATGTAAATTTTCTCAGGTACACGACTTCCACATTCCTCTTAATGTACCTCTTTCAGAATTCTTCTTCATTTTTTCTTTACATATCTCAAGTTGGTGGAGGGATTTTCTGAATAATTTTTAATTCATTGGTAACTATCGTGCAACTATCTTAAATCTTCTTTGATCTAGAACTTCAAGCAGGAAGTTCCCAAACATGAGATATTCAACAAAGGGAACCAAAAAAACTTGTCTAGTTTTTTTTTTCCCACTTCCATGACTTCTCGCTCTTCAATACTAGGGCAATACAGTTCTAAGGCTAGGATCCATCAGAGTTCCTGTTAGTGGAGAGGAAGTAGGCAAATAATTTCTATTCGCTTGGGATCTATTTAATCTTGAAATATCAAAAACGCCCAATCTCAACTTTTACTCTCAAGAGGTACTATTGCATGATGCCTTCTATAACCCCATATTACCCTTTAAATTGATTCATTATACGTTGGTAAGTTGAGAACACAGTCATATGATTTAGTTGATTGTTGCTGAGTTTTACTGCTCGTGTGGGGACGTTTTAGGATTATTCTAATTCCAACACCTTGCTCCCAGATGCTCAATCAATTATAGAATTCATAGTAAGTCCTTATTTTTTCACTTCTTTCTACCACTAGAAGGCTGTAGTCAGCAAGAAGTCTATGAGTTCTTGTGCCTTAATAGCAATCCTTAGCATGTATGTGATACCGATGTTAACCCAAATCATAATATAAAAACAAATATTATTAATGAAAACAAATAGATTGGTCAACTCCTCAGAAAGTAGAAAACCTGTACCGGTTCGTTCCAAGCGAAAGAATGGGTCGCGCAAAAACATATGCACTTCTCACGCCCGCGCAAGCTTGGGAGTCCCCACGTCAGTCACTTGGGATTGAGAGAGCTTCGCCTTTATCTGTCGAAGCTTTAGTCTCCTCATAATAGCTAGGGTCAGCCTCACTGATGGTATCAGGAACGACATAATCTCTTGACAAGTCGATCCTCTAGGCGCTAACATTACACAACACGTCATGATAGAATAAATGTCCTCTTTTAGTCTATCCTGAGCTGGAGCTGCATATAGATGTAGATTCTCACAATATAACTCTCGAACCTTTAAGTTTGAAACATTCTTCTTCCAGTTCTTGTACTCAGCAAAGTGTAGCTGATAAAAAAGTACGTGAGGAGAAATCAACTTTGGGATAAAATCTGTGACAAGTTGTGCCACTCTCACAAACAACAACTCATGAGAAACCCCCTTTTCTTTACAGATAGGACATGGGTCCTTGAAGAATTTTCTTTCCCAGAAGCTCCTAAGACGATTTCTAGAACTATGGTTTATCTCTCCTGTTTGGTTATCTGTTGGTGGGTGCACTGATGAACAGAATCTACAATCCGAACAACTCTTCATAATCTTCCAAAAGTAACTCAAAATTTTCTCATCTTTGATGAGTTGGAACTCCCTCAATTGAGCCAACTCAAAAGGTAGGCTATATACCTAAAAAGTTTTAAATTTTCTTATCTGAATTTGCCTTGTGTTTAATATCAACTCCTCAAACTCAAGGCCTTTTCAAATTTCCAATATCAATGATGTGGATGCTCCTTCGACGCCTGCAAAAAATGTAGTTTGAGGCGCCATAACCTCATACTATGCATGAACGCCCATTACCTCAGGCTCACTACCTTCTCGAACTGTTATTGTCAACTAAGTTGCAAACTTTCTCCTGGGTTCAACTGGAATCGATGGAATCTCTTTCCTGTTGGTTGGGAGTTGGCAGCTGACACTCCTCTTTCGTGTCCCTGCTCTCTTCTGTCTATCGTGTCATTGTTCATCTTTTCAACTGCTCCCTACTCAGTGAAATATATCATCTTTTGGTTGTGCAATCTGCTTCAATATGCCCAAATTCATGGCACTTGAAACACTTTTTGGTAGCTCCACCTGTTATGTGCTTTGAATCAATTTTTCCTTGAACTAGGTCAGCTTGGATGTTCCCTTGTGTATACTTCGGTTGTAAGATCATGGATTTGAACATTGCCGTTAAAATGTGGTGGTCGTCCCGTAATGTGGTCTCTCCTTATGAAATTAGGGTCATAACATCCAGTCTGTAGTGAACTTGGCACCATACACACACGCGCGCGCATACACGCACTCATAATTATATGTATGCATGTATTATATAATTTCTCTAATTTGTAAATGTTCTCATGTTGGCAACATCTTCTTAACATTTTGTAGCTTGCTATTCTATTTTCTTACATGATTATACGTTGATTCCAATTTATTCATTGCAAAGGTGGTACTGAAGGCTTATTTACTCAGAAAACTATAGAAATCACAGATGATATTATTTCTTCTTACAAAAACCAAGGTTCATATAATTTGATTTTTTTTTTCTTAATATTCAACAAATATTTGTCTATTATTCTGAAAATCTTCAGCATTTTTCTCAAGAATGTGTATTTGTTGCTCTTGAAGGCGGTTTTGATTTGCTAGGCCGAACGAAGGATCGAATAAGAACAAATGAGCAAATCAATGCTGTTAAAGTTGCATGTGAAGCATTGAAATTGAACGGTCTTGTGATTATTGGGGGTAATTACTTTATTAAACTAATTATTCATGTTTGTACTAAAATAGCAGTTGTATCTACTAATTAATATGTTTTGTTGGTCTTCTTAAGGTGTAACATCCAATACAGATGCTGCTCACCTAGCTGAGACTTTTGCAAAGACAAAATGTCAGACCAAGGTAATAAAATTGTTTCTTTTGCTTTTGAGAAATTTACACACATATCACATAATTATTATGTATTTATATATCTAAAATCAATAGTTTGATATTAACATTGTTAAAACTTTAATGTCATAATTACATTCAAGCATATGCATGAAAAAGCGTATTTTCCTTTTAAAAGTAAGTCATGGTTGTATTTTTGACGTGACATTAAGAATTTTAGTGTTTTGAAAATAGATATCGAATACATAGCAATTGTGTGGTATGTAATTTGTTCATCTTCATAATTTCAGAACTATGAATATAATGTTATTAAGTTAAATTGGTAGGTGGTTGGTGTACCTGTTACTTTGAATGGAGATCTAAAGAATCAATTTGTGGAGACTGATGTTGGATTTGACACTGTATGCCGGGTACATATTAACCACATTTTTTATTAAAAAATAAATTAATTTAGCAAGTTTTAATTTTCAAATGAGCATAAACCAACTAAATTGCCCATGCTCTATCTCTCTCTCTCTCTCTCTCTCTCTTTTTACTTGATGCTAACCTGTACTATGCCAAAATTTACAATTTAAACTCAGAAGTCAAGCCATAGAAATTCAAAATTTTAATATTAGTTATGTTAAGCTATGCAGTCTAATTGTTTTCCCTACGAAGAAACTGCTGCTAACAGAAAAAACTGTTATAGTTGTTTACATTATAATGTTATGTATGTGTTGAATTCTGATTTGTTTGTGAATCACACCCCGATGAGTAGAGTGTAAGAAATGGGATGCAGAGAGAGGAATGAGTGAACAATAATTAACAGTAAAACCTCGTCTATTATTCTTTTCTTATAAAATGATCTCCATATTTATAAGGGAGAGAATACAATATGTGATTACATTTTTGTCTCTACTTTAATGGGGGCTACATAGGGTCGACTTGGCTAGCATGACTTTGACTCAATAAGGATACTTCGGTTGGTTAGGCTGAATCATTGCGGTCAGTCAGATAGACTTGATTAGCTTTTGGTCGACATAACTAACTCGATCGACTAGATTTTTTTGATCTATTGATTTAGTCTGACTATCGACCCCTCGATCACTGAATAAAAAGCTTTTGTAGGCAGAACAAGACTAGGTCATCGAGTAGATGGTGAATCATCGTAACTCGATAGATAACTTATTTCTTAACGAGGAAATCCTTCGGGGGGATTGTTAGGATGTATTGTATAGCCACGCCTTAATCCTTGATGAGGAACCTTTGGGGATTTTCAAGGGCGGCTGGCGAGGAACTAGATCCTTTACTTGAGTCAGATCTATTAGGAGGTAAGTCAATGACTTCGCCCTGTTTTAGCTCGAGTGATGATTTCTCTTGCTCTAGCTCGATCGGTTCGGACTCTGTTTGTTTCTTTTGTCCTAGCTTGGTTAGTTGCATCCATATGGTTGTGGGCCTTTTGATCTTTTGTCAATGGGCTCTCCATTGTTGTGCTTTTTTTTTCTGGACCATTGGAACTCCTCGGGATCCGTGTTAGTGCATTCATGATGCACAATATGTAATGT